AATCTGAATCCTGATTACCTCCCTTTATATCATGCACGACTCCGCTCTGATTTTCCTTCAAAATTTCATCTGTGCTCAGTCCGGTGGAATCCAAAGGCTTGTCTTTGTTCTCGAAAGATTTAGAGTCGGCCACGAAGGAATAAGGCTTCGAGACACTACATCCTGCGGTTGAAATGCAAATCACTTGTTCATTATCTGCAAGCACATAAAACATATCTGGTAAACACCACATTCTTCATATATAAATCTCTAAATATAGTTGGCAGAGATGACGGAGGAAAATAGAAGTGTTGTTATTACCAAGTTTCATGTTTTATCATTCGTCCGCCTCGGATTACGATATCTTCACATACGGAATTCGAGACGAACTCTGCAGACGAAATGCAGGACAGGTTAGGTCAGCAATGAACTCGAAACTGAAACAGCTACCAGCAGACATTAAACATGAAATTGTTCAAACGCTAGGACAAAGCAGTTCATATGATCAACCGGAACCACCGTGTAACCAATGTTCGGCGAAAGCACTCGAGAAGATAAATATCGTCTTCCTCCATGATTGCTTTCAAACATTTTTACAAACACGGAAATACATGAAAATCAAACAAGGCAACCTTAACCCCAGAGATTGCTCCATGATCAAAGGACCTTTCATTTCACCATGGGGAATCTTACTTGTATCAGTCCCCAACATACAAAAAGAGGATAACAAAGCTTATAACTTTTTCAACAAAAGCTGCCATCTGTTCTGTTTATACCTTTAACTAGATCTAATCCATTGCAATTATTAATAAGAAAACCCCAGATTGGTTAAACTCAAATGCAGTAAAAAGCAGAAGGATATAATAATATCAAAGATCTGATAACAGATTCAAGCAAACACAAAAGAAACAAAAAGATGATAGTTTCTGTACCTTAATTTCTTCTCTGTGATTCAAAAACAAGTACTTTCATCAACCTTCACTGCAAAAACCAAGAAGATGGAAGGAATTAAGAAGCTTTTTGAATGAAGGAGAGAAGATGAAGAAGGATTTGGGATAAGTTTTTAAAGGTTGTTCTTTCAAACAATAGAAGCAGCTGTAGAAAGTGGAAAGATTGAGTTGATAAATAAGAGAGAAGCGGGATATGTAAATATATGTTATTAATGGCTAATCAAACCAAACAAATTCTCCATTTTTATTATTTTTTTATATTGGTTTATGGTTTTGGGTTTAGAGACTCCCACGTCACTCCTTCACTTTCCCAGAGAGGAAAAAAAGGACCCAGATTTTCTTTCCAACCAAACAGCAACATCAAGAAATACAGGTAAAAAGAAACCACCTTTCCCCTTTTGACTTTGATTTTGGAACCTGACAAAGATGATGGAGAATCTGAGCTCTTTTAAAGTTAAAATGGTAATGCTTATACTGTTTTTTCGCCGGAGAAACTGGTTTTAGTTAAAATTTAAAACGGCAGAGGGAGGAATATTATTGACGGAGGGGAGCTTAAACTGTAGATACGAATACATTGACGATGAAGAAGATGACGAACACGTGTCGCTTTGTTAGGCACCCACCTTCATCATCTCCACTTTTTTCGGGTCAAACTCCGATAGATATCCTCGACAATGGTTTTTACTGTAGAAAGTTGAAACCCATGGATCAGCCGTTGTATTGTGTTTAATAATATTTTCGTTGACTTCTTGATAGTATGGGTAAACTACCGGAATGATCACTTATCTTTTATTATATTTGTGCAATTTTGACTCACAACTTTCAAAAAACTTAAGTTTTGATAACTTAAATTATTGTTTTATTAAATTTTGATCACTGAGACGTTGAATATCATTAGTTTAATAATATAAAATATTAATAAAGTAATTTAACTTTTAATTCATAGATTTAAGTAAAATACTAAATATGTGTCGTTTTGTAATTTCAAAATAGTTTAGGAACAAAAATTGAATGTAAACTAAGGGATTGTTTGTTTACTTCAGAATGATTAAGCGCTGAATGATTCAAATGCTGAACGATTCAGAGACTCTGTATGAATTAGCTCTGAATGTGACGTGCTGTTTGATAATGGCTCTGAATCATTCAGAATGTACTTCTGTGCTGAATCATTCAACACTGTTTTGCTAAATCAGTCAGCACTGAATTATTAAGAGGTGCGAAACAAACGCTCTGAATGTTGAATGGTTCCATTAAGAGGCAAACAAACAGCCCCTAAGATATAGTTTTTACAAGATTCGAATTCTAAATATAATGTAAATCAAATTTAAATTCAACATAATTTTTTATTACAAAACCAACAAAAGAAGGAAAAAGAAGGAAATTTAGTTAATATGATATTTAACATTCTATTCTATTAAAAATCAACATTTAATTATTTAAGTTTCTCAAAACATATTTTTATTAATTTAAGGTGATTATAACGTAATATTTGTTCTAAAGATTCTCAATGATAGTTTATACCCTTGCATTTTATGGTGTTCGAATCTGAGACTTTCAAGAATAACGAACATTCTTTTTAACTACTTAAGTAACTTTGTTCGTGCTACATTTTTTTTATATAACCATCGGTATCTGATCTATTGATCTACCAATTTACTCCATGCGCAATAGCTAGAGTTTGAGGGACATCCATCTATTTATTTTGTATGTAAAATTGACGATTTCAGTATTATTTTCTCATAAAAAAATTCTTTTAAATGGAAAAATATAAGTGGGTTTCACTTACCAATTCTAGGCATACAAAATTTAGAAGGATTTGTGTCTTCTTAGGGTATTCGGTGGCAATATATAGAGTTTAAGGAATATAAATAATACTTTATAAAATGATGAAAAAAGTTAAAATAAAATAGAAAGAGAAATTATATTTGAAGTTTAATTTTTAAAATAGGTAATTTAGAGTTTTCAAACAAAAGTAATTTAGATAATACAAATTAGAAACAATAAGAACTAAAATCCTTTTTAAGTAAAATAAAATAAAATTAAAAATTAAAAAATAAGTCAAGCCTTTAAATTTAAAAAATAAAAATAAAAAAGTTAAATTTAACATATACTCATTTTAGTTTCAAATTTAAAATTAAAAACACGATTATTCTAATTAAAAATTCTAAAGCTATTCACTCATATTTTAAGGTGTAGTAGGTATCCTATTTAGACTTAATTAACCCTTTTTTTTATTAAACTAAGATGATTACAAAATAATATATATATATATATATTTTAAATAGTATCAATTATTTAACAATAAACGCTCAATCATCCTGCTACAATATTTGATGTTTAAACTCGTGATCTCTAAAAACAATAACTTTAACCACTAAAATAAGTTAATTCGTGCAATTAACCCTTTTTAGACATACTTTTAAACTTTTTCTTAAACTAAAATAAGGATGATTCTTCTGAACTCTACGAGCGGCGATGAACACCACTAACGATGAGAACTATTAATTTAATTTATAAAATTTAAAATACTAAAGGGCTCAATGTATAATTATAAATTACTTAAAAAATTAAAGGTAAATTATTTAAAATAAAGGGTAAACTATAACAGTGATCACTTAATTATTTCCTCTTTTCATTTTGACTACCATTTTTGAAATTTTGTCAATCAAGTTACTAAACTATTTAAATGTATTTAATTAAGCCACTTGTCTTTCATATTTAACGGAGAAACTGATGTGGCAGTTAAAATATTTGATATAGTTACACATTTGATCATTGTTACTTATATATTCTATCAATTTGGTCCTAATTTTAATAAAATTAAAATAAGTTTAACCCTCAAAGCTAGTAATAGCAACAAAAATTGTAAAAGTCATCCTTTCCTGGGAAAAAGGAATCGACATTGGATCTTGAGAAATTGATTTGGGAAATAGGTTGTTTTGAACAATAATTATAAAAGTCATCATTCGCTGGATAAAAGAAATCGACATTGGAATTGTTGATAACTTTGACAAAATAAAATGAAGAAAACAATTTAAATATTTTTAAAAAGGGAAAAGAAATAAATAAAAGAAAAATCTTAACCGAAAAATATATTTTGGTTACATAATAAAATATAATTTTAAATAGTAAAATCTCGTGTATAATTTGATATTATTTTATTGAAAAGAACAAGTGAAATGAATATACTGCCCATAGAAAAATAAAATCATTAATGCACATAGAAATCGAATGTTGGAATCTGCTCCCAGCAAGGACACAACAGGTTGATAAGTTTCTTTGTATTTTTTAAGTTTTATATTGAGGTTTATACAATTGTTTTGGTCTTTAAGCATTGAACTTCACATGTGTTAATGTTGGAACTTTGAAGTTATGCAATGCAAGAATGGTGATTTTATAATTTTTTATTTTTATTTTTACATTTTGATATGCTTGATGTAAAGCTATTTAGATGAAATTTTATACTTGAATTTGATTTTAATGTTCAACGTGATACTTAATTTTCATTTTAATCGCTAATTAGATACTTGAATTTAACTCTTTTTAATTCAAAACATATTTGTTTTGTTCCAAATTGATAGTTTATATTATGTTGGGGTTCCTAAGCCAAAGTTGAAGGATTAAGTTTATTTTAATTTATTAAAATTAGGACCAAATTGATAGAATATATAAGTAGCAATGATCAAATATGTAATTATATCAAGTATTTTAATTGTCACATCAACTTCTCCGTTAAATATTAACGACAAGTGGCTTAATTGAATGTTTAAATAGTTGAGTGACATGATTGATAAAACTTTAAATATAATGGTTAAAATGAAAAGGAACAATAATTAAGTGACCATTGTTATAGTTTACCCTTTATTTTAAATGATGCTTAATAGAATTTTCCTTAAAATAAAATATGAAAAATATAAGAATAAATAGATTCCATCCAGAGAATAACGACAAAACCAACCGAAATGACACGATCTCCTAGGTCAGATTTGGACAAATGCGATAGTGTCGTCCGGCTTCAACCGCTATTACAAAAACCATTATAAACGAGTATCTATACGAAACTTAATAACCATGTCGTCCAGTGGATCTGGTCAACTTTCCGATGAGAGCGACAGCAACATGCAACCAGCTGAAGATGATTGCGAGCGGCTCATGTCTTCACTGCCGGTGGAGAAAGGTTGGGTCGATCGCCTGTGTCAGTTTCAAGGTTTTTGGATCAGTCCTCGCAAGCTACGAGACGTGCTCACTTGCCAACGCCGCTTTCAAGCTCAGCACACCGACGTCCTCCTCGTTACCAATCCGAAATCGGGAACGACGTGGTTAAAGGCCATTGTTTTCGCCTTGATGAACCGGTTCCGATATCCATTCGCCGATGACAATCACCCTTTGCTCTCGCACAACCCTCACGTTCTTGTCCCGTTCTTGCGGGCCGAGCTTCACGTCGATGGTCAAGTCCCATCTCCGAGGATCATCGCTACTCATTTACCGCACCATTCATTGCCGGACTCGGTGAAGGACTCGCCTTGCAAGCTCGTGTATTTGTGTAGGAACCCAAGTGACACTTTCGTCTCGCTTTGGCACTTCACAAACAAGATCCGATCCAATGGTTCGGGAACGGAAGCGGTTTCTCTTGAAGAATCCTTCGATCAGTTCATCGGAGGTGTGAGTGTGTATGGACCGTACTGGGACCATGTTTTAGGGTATTGGAAAGCGAGTTTGGAGAACCCGGAAAGGGTGTTGTTTTTGAAGTACGAGGGACTGAAGGAGCGACCCAAAGTGCAGGTGGTGAAGCTAGCTGAGTTCCTCGGACGACCGTTTTCGTCGGAAGAAGAGACGAACGGTGCCGTTGATGGTATACTGAAGCTATGCAGCTTTGAGAATTTGAGCAATTTGGAGATTAACAAATCTGGGAAATTGACCTCCGAGGTGGATTTCAACAACTTTTTCCGGCGAGGTGAAGTCGGAGATGCTAAGAATCATTTGACTCCTCATATGATCGAGAAGCTAAACCAAGTTATTGAAGAAAAGTTGTATGGCTACGGATTAAAGTTTTAGCTCCTACAATGTTCTGATTACTCCGTGCACAAGGAACAGAATTCAAAATTTCATATTAGAATTATAAATTCAAAAAAAGTATAGTAAAAATTAAAAATTAAAAATATATAACCGTATTTCTTTTTTTAAAATGATAATTGAATTTATGTTTCTACTTTATTTTAGTTATTCGTAATTAAAAAATAAATAAAATTATTGGTAAGATAGAAACATGTTTACAAACTTTCCGACTCTCTTTCCATGATTTTCTTGGCAACCAAACAAATTTTTAACAAAGAGAAGAAAAAAATACGCAAATGCCGTTGACACTGCATATTGGCTCCATTTTGAAGCAATTCACATGGCATGATGTCGGCTTAGTGAACCTTGCACAGACTTCTTTGCTCTCAACGGAAGGTAACTGGAGGAACCCCAAATCAACCGAGACCGATCGCACGACCGGGCGACATAAACACTAGAAGAGGAAGATGGAAAAGATGGTGGGTGGAGTTGCCGTGAAGCACAGGATGTGGGGTTCAATTGAAAGGATTTCATGCAATGAAAAATTGAATCCAATCCCTACCGCCAATTGGCTTCAAACTAATAAAAATTGAATCAAGTGATTTTCTAATTTCCCACCGTAAAATTTCCCCTTGTGATTTTTAAATTCTGTTGCTTATGAGAAGAGAAGAGAATGAGAGGATTTAGGTTTAGGGTTGTAAATTAGGGTTTTATATCAAATAAATTATTGTTCAAATGCCAACATAGATCTTACTTAGATTAAATGACTTTAATGAAACAGTCCATGTCATCATCGTTATAGAAATCAGTTGTCATATCAGCGTTCCGTTAACGGATTAACGGTGAGGCGGCATAATTGGACTTAAACATAAACGCCAGTGTTAAAATTGGTAAAATTAAAAAACCAGTGATATTTTCAAACTCGCGTTTAAAGTGAGTGATATTTGAAGTAGATAACCCTAAATATAAATTCACGTCTTATTTCTATACAAGGCATATCTTATTAAATATGAAAAAAAATGTATTTGCTATTATCCAAGGGTTTCACGATTAAAGAGGTAGTTTTAACTATAAAAAGGGTAAATTACCTATTCAGTACTCACTAATAAGAATCTTAGGATGATGGTTGATTTAACTATGCATGTTCACTTACGATGATGAATAAACCAATGGATGATATTTTTTTTATATAGAGAACTAGAACTTTGCCAGAGGATTCCAACTAAGTCTTAAAAATAACTATTCATGTATTCTAAATTCGTCATTTTCTATTAAAAAAATACGTCAGTTTAAACTGGACGTTAACATGTTGACTACAATACAATAAACTATGATATTAAAATCTCAAATAATTATCATTATCAGTCAACAGATTAACGTTCAAGTCAGACTATCGTCAATATTTTAATAAAAATAATGACTTTGTAACTTATATCACGTGCAGACGACGGGTCTGCTGACTTCTGACGTATATCACGTGCAGCATTGCTATTCACGGAGAACTAAACCCCATAAAAATAGTTTTAAAATAATTAAATACATATTTTTAACTTTATTTTTATTATATTTTTAATTGAATGAAGTTTTGCTTAATACTGTGTATACCTTAGTGACGTTTTAATACCAGATGGTGCTCTAAGAAACAGTATGTAGTGTCTCGTTCCACTTCCAAAACCGAGCGTAGAAGCCTGGCCAACTCAGTTGCTGAACCAATATGGATTGAACAACTCTTATTGAAATCGGTGTAATGTATTATTCATGGGAAACCGATTGTAGAGGTGAGAGTGTGCATGGACGGTATTGGGAACTTGTTTTAGGGTATTGGGAACTTGTTTTAGGGTATTGGAAAGCAAGCTTGGAGAGCCCTGAAAGGGTCTCGTTTTTGAAGTACGAGGGACTGAAAGAGCAACCCAAAGTGCAGGTGTTGAAGCTAGCTGAATTCTTTTATTGGTTAAATTACTTTTTTAGTACTTAAATTATTAGTTTTGATATGTTTTAGTATCTAAACTTTCAAAAAAAAATCAAAATCATACCTAAATTACATCTAACCTCCTCAAATGTCTATATCCAATTCAATTATGTTTTAAAAATTTAGATAGCTTCTTTAAACCTTTTTAAATAAAAATTGGTAAAGTACACAAATGGTCTTCCGATTATAGGGTATTTCTTTATTAAGTCTTTCGACTATTAAAAGTTACAAAATGATCCTCCAACTATAGAGTGTTATTTTGTTGAGTCCCTTGACTATTAAAAGTTACAAAATGATCATCCTACTATTCATTATGTTCCAAACTCGTCCTAATATGTTAAAAATTGGTGGTATTTTGAGCCGAACGTTAACTTATTGACTGTGATATGATAAAATCTGATCTGATAGTCTCAAATGACTATCATATCCTAGTCATTATGTTAATGTTCAGCTTAGACAATCACTAATTTTTAAACGAGAAAGGACAAGTTTGAAACATAATGAATAATCGGGTGACTATTATGTAACTTTAATAGCCAATGGACTAATAAATCAATATTCTATAGTTGAGGGATCACTTTGTAACTTTTAATAGTTGATGGACTTAATAAAGTATTACTCTATAGTTGGGGGACCATTTGTGTACTTTACCCTAAAAAATTTATATAGACTGGAACAAGTAGGGGTGCTTAATAAGTTGAGTAGCTCGAACTTGACTCAGTTAAAACTCGGTAAAAGCTTGACTCTAGTTGACTCGACTCGAACTCGAGCTCGACTTGAGATCTTAACGAGCTAATTTGAGTAAAGTCCAACTCGACTCGATAAGTTTACAAGCATATCGTTAATTTTTTTTATAACTTTTTAGTAGTTATTTAAAAAATATTTTATTAAAAAATTATTAATTTACGAATAGATAATAAAAAAGATGATAAAATAGTAATCAAGTATTTTTTTAATAAATAATAAACAATACTAAATTATTAATTAATAATTATTATTTTACTACACTCAAAAATTAAATTTTAATTATTATTTTAATGTATTTGTGGATTGTTATTTTGAAGTTTAGACTTTGAATTTGTTTCATACACTCTTCTAATAATTTTTTTAAATTTATTAATTTATGTTTATATTAACTTTTATATAATATTAGTAGATTTTACGTATAATTATAAAAATAAGATAAAAATTTTGGTGAGCTTAACGAGCAACGAGTTTTTTTAACGAGCACGAGTCAAATAAAATTTTAACGAGTTTAACGAGCAACGAGTCGAGTCGAACAACAAAATTTTTTAATAAGCACGAATCAAACACTGTACAGCTCGCGATTACTCGCTCGATAACACCTCCTAGCAACAAGTATAAAAGGGGAACAGCCTTTGGCAACGTGAGTGAGAGTGGCATCCACCATTAGCTTTCACCCACGTGGATGGCTGCTGATTTGTCAACCACCCTCTGGCTGCTCCTAGACACCATTTCGATCTTACAATATTTTAATTTTAAATATTTAATAAAAATTTCTTAATCCAATAAATACGTATCACGTACATGTGAAGTCTGTTTTAAAATATACAATGATAATAAGTGGGGGTGTTATTTAATTAAAAATAATAATATAATCTGATACTTTTAATTCTTAAAATCTATATAGTCTAATTTATTATCAAACTATAATTAATTGATTCCGAGTGTAGGTTACCGATATGTTAACAATAGAGAAAGACAAAATATTGGGACACCTATAATTAATTGATTCCGAGTGTAGGTTACCGATATGTTAACAATAAAGAAAGACAAAATATTGGGACGTTTAAATCCCTTCAAAATATTCTTTGGCTAGAGGAAGTTAGGGACAGCTGGGAAGGTTGTTAGGTAATTAAGCTGTTAAAAGTAGGATGGTCATGAGTCGACTTAGGTCAGATTTTCTGTCAACTTGATCCGACTAAAAAATTATATGTACTCCACCCGACACGAATTCGACCTGAAAATTATACACTCTTTATCCGAGCAGAATCTGACCCTTTCTTTTTTAGATAAAATCTGAATCTGGCTCAAAATAATATATTTATAAAAAAACATTACTTTTATTTAATGAAAAATAGAGATTTCATTAAAACATAATATATAGATGGATCTTATTGTAATTATCCCAAAATATATAAAGTAAAATTATATTATTTTGGGTCGGGTTAGATAATTTTTATCTTAAATCCAAACCTAAACTGACCCGAACATAATCTGTAACATCCTCAATATCGAGTTAGTGACCAAATTGTAAAGTTTCAGAAATTGGTGATTAAAGTAGGATAATTGAATAGTTCAATGATTTATTTGGAAATATTTCCTTAAAGATGCTAGTAATTATAAAAGGTATTAAAGGGCAAAAGGGTCATTTGACCAAGAAATGAATTAAAAATGAGATATGATAAGGATATATACATGTGGGAAAGGAGAGATTTCTCCAGAGCTTTCTTCTTTCTTCTTTTTCTTCATACGTGAAAGAGAGCCAAGCAAATGTAAGCCTTCTGATCTGTTGATTATTTGTTAATTTAAAGTTTGAGTTTTGATTGTTAGATGATAACTAAGCTTAACTTATCTTAAAATCAAAAGATAAAAGAGTTAGGGAAGATTAAAGATTTGGAGTTCTTGAATGAAATTTTGATATAGAGTTGATAATTAGAATTGGAAGTTGGATTTGACTTGTCATCAATCTAGTTAAGACATATGAAGTGTTAGAAGTGGAATTAAATCATGTTGCAAAGTGGGTATAATTCTTGAATCTCATAAGGAGGATAGGATTTTGGGGTTTAAGATGAAATAAATGAGTATAGATTAGTTTAAATAGGTTTATAAGAGTTAAAAATAGAAAAAGGGATGAAATCTGAAGAGTTGATAGAATAAAGAAGGGATTTCGTGCTCAAAGTATCATTTCTGGGTTGTGTGCATCGATGCATCTTCAATGTGCATCGATGCACTCTCAAATAAATGAACATCGAATGTAATTAGTGCATCGATGCATAAGGAGTGCATCGATGCACCTGCTTAAAATATAAACATCAAATAGGATTTATGCACCGATGCATGGATAGTGCATCGATGCACCTGTCAAGGGATGCATCGATACATGGTGTAGTGCATCGATGCATGCCTTCATTAAAAGTTGGAAATAGCTTTCTTTTTAGCCTAAGGAACGATAGTTTAGAATATATCAATTAGTATACTGATATGTATCAATGTATTACTATGTAGATTTAGAACATAATCTCGTTCTGGAACAATTGAAGGATTAGAATCGAGTCAAAACAAGGCTAAGGTGAGTACATATTAGAAGTATGGTACAATGGAATAAGAGTTGTGATAAGTCTAATTCCTATGTTGATTTTCGTAGCACAATAGTTATGAACATGCATACATGATAATTATTATGATACATGCATAAAGTATATATGTTCATATTATTTGATAAATGATATATATGAATAGATTCAAATGTATATGTGACATGGTAAAGGATATGAGTTGTATGATCACAAGAGAAATGACATGAATACATGAACATATGAAATATAAGAATAATGTCCACGGTATACGATATGAGAGCTATAGGTATAGTTGGCATGCCAAGAGTCGAGGGTTCTACGTGGTCCTTCGGGATATATATGTATCCTTTGGAACATTTACAGTGTATTTTGAGACAGATTTGATCCATTGGAATATGTATATGGTTCTTAAGGAGTGGTCCTTCGGGACAAATACAATACATAGGTCCTTCGGGACAAAATTTCATAGCCCCTAGTGGGACCCATACGAGCTGTGGTGACAGCATAGTGCACAACCTCAATGTACTCGAATACCTTGAGTTCTCAAAAATGTACATGGGCCTATAAAAGGTTATCAAAGGTAATTACATTGTTATAGTTATATGTTATCATATTATTATTGTTTACATTGAATTGTATACGACATGATTGAATGGATAGATTGCATGTTCATATTCATACTGAATGCATTATTATTATATTTATATGCCTCACTAAGTCTATGACTTAGCGTGTAAGTGATTTACACGTAGGTACCAAAAATCAGGAAGAGCAGAAATAGGGTGGCAAGAACTGCAACACTGCTAGAAGATCAGATCAGAAGTAACGGATAAAGTATGTCTTTTGTCGTGTATATGGTTGACATGTAAGAAAAGTGTCTGTTACAAATGCTCTGATCATTTTTGTTTTATTTTGGTTAACCTGTGTAAAGTAACAATGTTATTTTAATGAAAGTTTTAAATTTCCTTGATTTTTCGTCAAGAGTCAAAGTTTGAAAAGTCAATGTGACACCTCAGACTCATATCTGGGTTGGGTACTGGTTGAGGGTGTTACATAATCTCTAAGAAAAACTGACCCAACTCAACCCGAACTCTAATTATTTTTAAAAAATATGACCCCAAAAGATAAGATCATGTCAAAATCTATCTGGTTCGAGTTCGAAGTATTATGGGGAGAAAAGCTGCCGACCGTTAGAATGATGATTAGGGTTGTCATTTGATTGACAATTTTGAATGCAATACAACTACATAATATAGTGCTTTATTAAGTCTCTTGACTATTAAAAGTTACAAAATGGTCATTTGACTATAGAGTGTTGTTTTGTTGAATCATTCGACTATTAAAAGTTATAAAATGGTTATTCGACTATTTGTTATGTTCCAAACTCGTCCTTTTTCGTTAAAATATTGTTGGTATTATGAGCTGAACATTAACATGTTGATTGTTATATGATAAAACCTAATCTCAAAATCTCAAATGGCTACATATCTTAATCATCATGTTAACGTCTAACTTAGACAACAATCAATTTTTATCAAAAATAATGAGTTTGAAACATAATTAATAGTCGGGTGACCATTTTATAACTTTTAATAGTCGAGTGACTTAATAAAGCAGTACACTATAGTCGGGGGGCCATTTGTGTTCTCTACCCAATTTTATTTTAGGGTTGTTATAACAAGCCGTTTAGTAAAATTTTCATTTTAATTTACACCCTGTAGTTTCAGTCAACCCATGTCCTCCACTAAATCTGATCAAGTCCCCTACGAGACTGATACTCAATCTGATCTTCCCAAATACCTCCGGGAATCGGGTCTCACCCCTGAATGCAAGCAGCTTATGTCTTCACTGCCGGCGGAGAAAGGTTGGGTAAATCAGTTCCATCAGTATCAAGGTTTTTGGATGAATCCTCGCATGCTACAAGCAGTGCTCACTTGCCAACGCCACTTTCAAGCTCAGCAAACCGATATCATCCTTGTTACTTATCCGAAATCGGGGACGACATGGTTGAAGGCATTGTTTTCGCCTTGATGAACCGGATCCGAAATCTTCCCACCAATCACGATCATCCCCTGCTCTCACAGAACCCTCACGTTCTAGTTCCGTTTTTGGAGGTCACGCTATACGTCGATGGCCAGGTTCCTGATTTCACCGATTTTCCATCTCCACGGCTATTTGGTACTCACATGCCCCACCCTTCGTTGCCGGACTCGGTGAATAACTCGGCTTGCAAGCTTGTGTATTTGTGCAGGAACCCGAGTGATACTTTGGTGTCGCTTTGGCACTTCACAAACAGGATGATACCCGATGGTTTGGGAAAGGGAACCGTTTCTCTTGAAGAGTTGTTCGATCAGTTCATCAGAGGTGTGAGTCTGTGTGGACCGTATTGGGACCATGTTTTAGGGTATTGGAAAGCAAGCTTGGAGAACCCCGAAAGGGTGTTGTTTTTGAAGTACGAAGAACTGAAAGAGCAGCCACAAGTGCAGGTGTCGAAGCTAGCTGAGTTCCTCGGACGACCATTTTCGTCGGAAGAAGAGGCGAACGGTGCCCTCGATGGTATACTGAAGCTATGCAGCTTTGAGAATTTGAGCAATTTGGAGGTTAACAAAACTGGGACATTGGCCTCCGGTGAGGATTTCAACAACTTTTTCAGGCGAGGTGAAGTCGGAGATGCTAAGAATCATTTGAGTCCCCATATGATGGAGAAGCTAAACCAAGTTATCCAAGAAAAGTTGTATGGCTACGGATTAAAGTTTTAGCTCCTACTAATGATCATAGTACTGTGTTCTGATTAATCCGTGAGTGTTTTAATAATGACCCGGCTTCGAAATGTTCAACCAAGTCCACCCTCGTTGATACAATGTTCAATGTCGTGCTTTAGTATTTTTTTTATAACCAGTATCCGATTATTAATCGACTAATTCAGAACGGGTATTGTAGAAGCAAGAGCGATCCTCCCAACCCAATTTACTCTATTCGTAATAACCAGAATTCGAACCCTAACCTCTCTTAATGTTTTAAGGTTTGTTGTTTTTGTCATAACGAGTAATGTTGGCGTAAAGTAATATGTGATTATAGTGGTGGTTTCATTAGCTTCTTGTTTTGGTCATTGTGAATTTCATTCTACACTCAAATTATTTTATAATCATCAGATCTATTAATTTTCTCGACCTATAAATAAAAATCGTAAAAATTTAATGTTAAGTTTTAAAAAATTAAAAGCTTAGATACTAAAATGGACTAAAACTAATAGTTTATATACTAAACGTGTTAAGTTTTTAACGGCGAGTTACTAAGATGAAATGAAAACGGTTGATATGGTTTTAAAAAATTGAAATTTTATATACTAAAACAGATCAAAATTGATATTCTAGGTACTAAATTCGAATTTACCCTAAAAATGTATATAGATTGGAACAAGTATACAAGGGTGTGAGTGAGAGTGGCATCCACCGTTAGCTTTCACCCACGTGGATGGCTGCTAGAGACCATTTCGTTATGCAATATTTTAATTATAAAATTAAATATTAAATAAAAATTCTTAATCCAATAAATACGTATCACGTACATGTGAAGTCTGTTTTAAAATATTACAATAAATATGTATCACGTACATGTGAACTATAAATATTAGAGAAAATAACCTCAGTGACCGAAAATGCCTTGTAATATACTATTTTGACCAATTTTTTTTGGATTTGTCAAAATGACCAAGTAAATCGCAATGCGATCTCCGGTATCGCAAATCAGTTTCCAAATTCGCAACGCGATAGTCGAAGTTCGCGTTGCGATTCATTCCAAATTCATTGCGAGAGGCGAAGTTTGCATTGCGATTCATTCCAATTCGTTGCGACAGGTGAAGTTCGCATTGCGATTCATACTTCGCCTTGCGATTCATTCCAAATTCGTTGCAATAGTCCAAATATTGCATTTGTTTCTTAAGAATTTTCTCTAAAAAGATAGAATTCGCGCGGACGTGTCAAGGAAACGTATTACCACGACCACGACCCGAGACGGGACGGCGGCGGCGGCGGCGGCGGCGCGCGAGAGTCCCCCTTGTTCTCTATCACTCAACAAGGAAGTGGGAAAGCCAAGCCTTAAATACCATTCCCAATAGTGTTTCCAATACTATGTGGGATTGAGCATTACCAACACTTGTTTCCAATACCATTACCTTCATTGTTGTAAGAGTTTAATTTTGAAACTAAAAAAATATTTATTCGAATAAATAACTTACCCTTTGAGGACTTTGATCATAAATGAAGTAATTGCTAAAACTAACTCTGATTCGGGTTCTTATAGTGTTCAAATGACTTGCTTGCAAAGAGTAGATGATGACCAAACAACTCGATATGTTTCCTTTGTGTCATTATCAGCTAGTTTTCGTAGCATCCTCAGTTGAAAACTTCCATCATTGTCTCCTTTGCATTTGTTTGGTTAATATTTTTCTTCCATCAAAGTCCTCAAAGGGTAAGTTATTTATTCGAATAAATATTTTTTTAGTTTCAAAATTAAACTCTTACAGGTAATGAAGGTAATGATATTGGAAACAAGTGTTGATAATGCTCAATCCCACATAATATTGGAAACACTATAGGGAATGGTATTTAAGGCTTGGCTTTCCCACTTCCTTGTTGAGTGATAGAGAACAAGGGGGACTCTCGCGCACCGCCGCCGCCGTCCCGTCCCGTCTCGGGTCGGGTCGTGGTCGTGGTCGTGGTCGTACGTGTCTTCGACACGTCCGCGCAAATTCTATCTTTTTAGAGAAAATTCTTAAGAAACAAATGCAATATTTGGACTATCGCAACGAATTTGGAATGAATCACAACGCGAACTTCGCCTATCGCAACGAATTTGGAATGAATCGCAACGCGAACTTCGCCTATCGCAACGAATTTGGAATAAATCGCAATGCGAACTTCGACTATCGCGTTGTGAATCTGGAAACTGATTTGCGATACCGGAGATCGCGTTACGAATTATCGATCGCATTGCGATTTACTTGGTCATTTTGGCAAATCCAAAAAAAGTCGGTCAAAATCGTATATTACAAGTCCGATTTAATTTTAAATACAACATTTTATAACAATATTTTAACTAAACTATACGTTTATATATATATTTTTTAAAAAAGAGACATTTTTAGCATCAAACTTATAATTAAGTGGTTTTGAGTGTAGTTTACCCATATATTTATAATAAATCCCCTCAAAATATTCTTAACGTAAATTAAAATAGATTTAAGCACACATATAGATGTCAAACGGACAGGGCGACTTGTGGATACTCTTTTTTTATCTTCATACTCACTTAATATTTTTATATCTATCATCTATTCACTACTCACATATAAATTTTTAAATTCATACCCGCTCACGCGGGTATGTTCTCAAATTCACCCCACCCCACTATTAAATGGATACTCTGTCTGACCAGTCCATGTTGACATAACAACAACGTCACGGATTACATAATCAACAAAACATAAAACAAATACATCCATTAAGAAGTATAATAAAATAAACCAATGATTAATTGAGTTTATACCCTAATATATGTTTGCATTATGTTCTAATTATTTTTGGCTTATTACGTTTCGTGTTCTTTCGTTTAGGAATATTACATTCTGCATGTAGACGGATACCCCTTGAAATCGGAAGCAGAGAGACAAAGGGTAACTCAGTGTCTCGAAGCTATCAGAATTTGGTAGTATGCTCTTGTTTTACTTGAATGATGGATTTCATGACATCAAATTCAAAGATTTCTTCACATATTTTATATAGGGACTTTTAATGCAATTAATCTTATTATCTTTAGTGATTACTTCAGTACTGTAAGCGTATCATTGATCTGCTTGAAATTTGGGAATTGTACTAAAATTAAACCCATATAATAATATAGGGACTTTTGATGGAATTACTATTATTTTTCTAGTGGAATAAATACTGAGTTCAAGTTGGAAGTTAATGCCAGCACCCAACGATGCTTCCCGGAAATTTCCTTCGACGTATATTTTATTTTATAAAAAAGAATGGAACAAAAGGGATTTATTTCCAGATTTACCCCTCTTAGCTACCACAATTTACACCAGATTCCAAGCAGGGATGGGCATGGGACCCGAATTCGATGGGTTCCGACTCGACCTGATCGGGTCGGATTATTTTTTTAAAAATTTGGGTTTGGGTTGGGTCGGTTTGAGTTTAGGGTGAAAAATACCCGATCCGACTCGAAAAAATTTATAATTTTACCTTATATATTTAGAGATAATTACAATAATACCCCTCTATATATTATTTTTTCAATTAAGTTACTATTTTTATTGAATAAAAATAATATTTTTTATTATTTCGGGTCGGGTTCAGGTTAGGTGAAATCTTGTTTTGGTCGGGTCGGGTCTCGGATGAGGATTCCTTGATCTCGGTCGAGTCAGGTGGACCAAAAACCCGACCCAACCCGACCCATGCCTAATTCCAAGTACCATAAATTCTAAGGTAATTATGTTCCTAAGTGAATTTTACTTTCTCTCGTTTACTTATCGTACTTTTAATTTTTTTAATTTGTTCATTTTTTGACAATTTTTTATTGTTCGTTAAATTTTAAAAATTGAATCATTTTGCTCTCTCCTCTATTATTTCTTTAACGTTGTGATGACATATTATTATTATTATTATTAATATAATATAATTGAAAATATAAAAGATAAATTACACCGTTCATCACTTAATTGTGCTATCTCTCCTATTTTGCTCACCTAACTAAAATAAAAATAGAAGGTGGTTGTATGCCATCGCCAGCCACCATCGACCACCGTAGATGGTGGTCGTTCGGTTTCAAATTTCATGGGTGTTTGCCTCGATACCTTAAGTCCGAATTCAACCTCCATTTTATCGGAACTTACTCCGAAGTCCACGAACTATAGATTGAAAGTGAGGAAGCCAAAACGTTACAATAGAGATTCACGAATTTTAGGATATTTTCATGTGAAACAACCACCAGATTCGGATTCAGAGGTCGAGACAAACCGTCCCATGAATTTTGGGTCGAAACGACCACTATCAACGGAGATAGATGGTGGTCGGAATGAACAATGATGTCGTAGCTGACGGTGGCAACTGATCACCTTATTTGTAAAGTAGAGAGAGAATGGAAGGAAAGAAGAAGATTCAAAACGATGTCGTTTTGGTGTATGTTTGAGTTGTTCAAAACGACACCATTTTGATGCTTGTGTCATGTCATAACACTGTTAAAAAGTTAACAACATAGTGAGCAAAATTATTCAATCCGAAAAGTTCATTGAGCAAATTAGAAAAATTAAAATACGGTGAGTAAAATAAGAGAAAAAATAAATTCAGTAAGAAACGGTGTAATTTACCCTATGTGATAGACAACAAACGATTTTTTTTTTCAATTTGTTTATTCTTTTCTTAAATTATTTAATTTTTCAGATATATTGTACTACTTTTTATTATTTAAAATTATTCTAAATATTTTATACGTATTAAATTTTACAAATAGCGGCACAGCGTTTATTATTTTTTCTCAGACATTGGATAAATAAATTGATAAAAACAATTCTGTAGAATCTATTTTTATTATACATATAACGATAATATATAATTATTTAGAATTTAGTCATAAATTATGTTACATGAGTGGTTGTAAATCAATCTTGCTCAATCATATAATTAATTAATACTGATTAATAGATTATTTAACGATAATATATAATTATTTAACTGCTATTTTGATTAAATAAATTTAGTTAAGGGTAAATTGCACTGTTCCTCACTGAATTTTATTCTCTTTCTCTCATTCTCTTATTTTGCTCACCGTACTTTTAATTTTTCTGTTTTGCTTACTTAATTACACAGATGGAATCATTTTGATCACTTTGTAGTTAACTTTTTAACGATGTTATGACATGACACAAACATCAAAATAACATCGTTTTGAAAAACTCAACTCTACACTAAAACGACGTCGTTTTAAATATTTTCCTTCCCCCATTGTCGTCGTTGGCCACCACATCATTTTTCATTCCGGTCACCGTCGACTGTCATGGTGGCCATTCAATCCCAAAATTCATGGGTAGGTTCGTCTCAACCCCCTGAGTTCGAATCTGGCGGTTGTTTCACAATAAAATATCCCAAAATATGTGAACCTTGACTGAGACGTTTTGGCCTCCTCACTTTCAATTTTTGATTCGTGGACTTCTGAGCAAGTTCCGACAAAATGGAGGTTAGATTCGGACTCAATGATTTGAGACGAAGCGACCCATGAAATTTGGGACCTTACGGTCACCTTCTACGGCGGTCGACAGTGGCTGATGGTGGCATTCAACCACTTTTTGCTTTTATTTTATAGTTGGGTGAGCAAAATAGGAGAGAGATAAATTTCTTTGAGGAATGATGTAATTTACCCTTTATATTTTCAACTATTTTATATTAAATAATAATAAAAAAAATGACACGTTATCACATCATTAGAGAGTTAACAGCAGAGTGAACAAAATGATTTAATTTTTAAAGTTCAGTGAACAAAATAGAAAAATTAAAAGTATAGTTAGCAAAATAGGAGAGAAAGTAAAATTCAGTGAGGAACGATGTAATTTGCCCTTTATTTAATTTAACAATAACATAAAAAGATTGAATTAAAATAATTATATACAAAAATTTAGAATACAATTAACAAAAACTATAAATTTTGGTAGAATGTTTTTACCATAGAATTCATCATTCGCAAATGATCTTAAACGACCAACCATTGTTTTTTCTTTTATATTATATTATATTATATTATTAACTATACGGATAATCAATTATATTTGTGTTAAATAATTAATAGGTCGGCAAGTTTTGGCATCATCTGAAAACACGATCTTTGTTACGCAACTATAGAATATAGTAAATTTAACCAAAGCCCAATTCAACTCGATATAATGTTAATAAATAGTAAAATTCAATACCAAATCGACAAACTCCATTACTAGGAACTGTAGTAAGCTTGCATTAATGATGAAAAACGGTGATAATATGTTACATTCTCGTAATCTTATTGGTTTACACGTCTAGGCCATGAAGCGTTACCTGAATCCCATGTTGTGGTTGAAGCAGGAGCTGAGTAAATGGCGAGTGGCTGTAGGATGGAGAAAGCGAGACCGCGTAGCGTCGTAGTATCATCGAAAGTGCCGTCTTCATCTCCGTCATGGCGAAGCTCATCCCCACGCAAGATCGAGGTCCCAACCCAAACGGAAGAAACGCACCGGAATTACGTTTCGTGGCATTGGCGATCCCTCCGGCGAATCTCTCGGGTTTGAAGACATTCACGTCATCACCCCACAAGTCTGGGTCATGGTGAAGTGCAAGATTTGAGACAAACAGAACCAAATCAGGTGGCAGGATCAGGTTGCCTAATTTGGCTTCAGCTTCAACTTGCCTCGCCACGCTAGTCACAGGAGGGTATAATCTTAGTGTTTCATTAATGATCATGGTCATCTGAATGCAAACACAGGTACTAATCGTTAATCCTTAATGGTATCGATCCTGAATTTGACATTCATTGGAATATATGTGCTGAAGGGATAGATTTACTCACAATCTTTAGTTTGCCGATGCCTTCCGGGTTCGGATTTCGTTCACGGAAGACCTCGATCACCTCTTGTCTTGCTTTGTCCTGCCAATCCGGATGTGTTGCAAGAAGGAAGACGGTCCATGCGAGTGAAGAATTCGTTGTTTCTTGTCCAGCAAAGTAGAATGTCTTGCATTCATCGACCAAATCTTGTTCCGAAAGCTTGTTGTTCTTGTCTGTATCATGGAAAGCATTTAACAGCAATCCCAGAAAATCAGTGCCGAAGTTATTGTCCCCATCATTAGCCAATTTTTGTTCTCTTTTCTTCACTATCTCCATCACACATTTGTGTATTTCTTTTACGATCTTGTCTGCTTCAATCTCATCAGCAGTTTTCCAGAACTTGCTGGAAAGAAAATAGAGCTGAACCCCAAGTATTCATGGCTAGTTTCTTAGCTAATTCAAGAGTAAAAATGTGAACTTTTTTTTACCTGATGACAGGAAATCTAGACCTGAAGAAGTTTCTGTTTGTTATGACAGACAGCTTTGTCAACATGTCGAAAATCTTTTCCCCATCCAAATAACTGCTACCGAAAGCTGTTCTGGAGATCACTTCTGAAGTGAGCAACCTGAACTGTTCGAACAATTCGATTTCTTTGCCTTGGAACTGTTTCCACCTTTCCAGCATCGTCTCCACGCTGGCAATCACCGCCGGACTCATACCCTGCGTACGTTGATTCGATACGTTAATTCGGTTAACACCAGAGAATGAACGCATATAATTTTAGAAGCATACTTTCAGGGTCTCCCCATGAAAAGCCTGGTTAGCCAATTTCCTATGCTTTGCCCATTTTTCACCTTCCGATGTCACAAGGCCATCTCCAACTATCTTAATGGCGAAATCATCTTCCTCCTTCCTTTTTCTACTAGTCCTCTTCGGGAAAACACCTTCAGTACTTTTCAGTAACTCTTTGGCAAGTTCAGGTTCTGTAATAAACAACAGAGGTCTAACACCTATCCAACCTAGATGATTCTTCCCTACAAAAAGGTTGAATTGTTCAAGTAAATCGAAAAAATTGGTATTCAAAAACATCTTAATCCCTACCATATGAGCTGATCCTCGAATGAATATGAGGTTGGACTCTGGGAAATATGTCATGTGAGAAAGCAGGCATGGGGTTTCTCAGGGCTTCTTGTCTCAATCTGATGTTCTCTTTGTTGTTGCCATGGATGAACTTGTAAGGCGGTCCGGTGATCCCTTGTGAGCTCATCAAGCGCTGTATACGGAGCGGCGTCCACCAGTATTTGTGCAGGATTTTGGTCAGGGCTATGATCAGTGACAGGCAGATAGAGCCTGCTGCAACGAGGACTGATGCCTTTGCCATGGGATTCATGATTTTGCAGGGGTGATCTTGGAGATATCAGATTTTTGGTCTTTATCTTGAAGATGAGAAAAGATGTCGGCTTGTTTTGGCATCATATGAAATCGTTAGAAGATAAGTGCACGAAAACGTGAAAAATCAAGATTTCTCTTTGATTAGAATGAAATTTGACAATACTATTTCTTGTTTGACCAAATAGAGGCGTAAAAGATTTTCTTTCTAGGTACAAGAATGGAATGTTTGCTCATAATATCATAGGTTACAAGTATAATTATACAATGTTTTAGGGTAGTGATGACCTTGCTTCATGTCTCTTGGGGTCTTATAACTTTTCTAACATGGACCTTCCTCACCATGCAAAGAGTGGAGGACAACCTGAATCCCAGCAAGTGGGATAATCAAGGAATTCAAAACAGGCGAGTGAACATAAGCCGGGGAGAGGACGAATCTGTATCGTTGCAGTATCATCGCGAGAACAATCTTCGCCCCGATGACCGCAAAGTTGGAACCGACGCAGGCCCAAGGACCAATCCCTTGTGAAAATCTTCGTGAGAACATTGTTGTTTGTAGCTATAGCCACCCCTTGTGAAAATCTCTCCGGTTTAAACAAACGACCAATTGTCACCCCAAATTTCGGGATCATGATGAACTGCCAAGCCTGGGAAGAACAACTGAAGGTTAGAAGGCAGAGTGAATTTCCCTAGTGTAACTTCACTTTCACATCTCCTTAGAATGCCAAATGCAGGAGGGTATAATCTCAAGGTCTCATTGATTATCATGGTCATCTGCAATGGTGGAAAAGGAAAAGATAAGCCATTTGGATTGTTATTATACCACAATTAATGTGTGATTTACTTGATTTTCTTACCGGGTTTAGTTTAGACAAGTCATCTGGATGTGGATTTTGGTGACCGAACAACTTGATCACTTCTTCTCTTGCTTTGTCTTGTACTTAATTTCGTTGTTATTTCATTGTTTTTTATTCGTTGGTTTATGTTGCTAAGTTGTACGTTTTCTATCATTTTTTATGACAAACATTGAATTCTATAAACTATGTTAAAAAAGACGAATTCTATAAGTTTTTATTTTTCTAGAATCATAATTGGAACAATGTGCATGACTTGGGGCATGACTTTGTTGATGTAGCGAAGAGTAAGCATCTTCTAGAAGATCCAATCAGCATTTTCGTACAAGCAAAAGACTCGGTTGTAAATCCAGACGTGAATTTAGGATTTATCTTTATTTTTTAGATCTATTTCAAACAATTATGGGAATTATATATTACAATTTATTAGGAATTTTTTAGATGGAACTAGATCCATAATGAAACCCACAATTGTATCCCCTGTCAAACACACGTCTAAAGCATCTATTATTACGTTCCCTCCGCACAAAGTATATAAAAGCATTCCAAACCAATCTAAAAATGGTGGCGCGAAACGACTTACCCCTAGCGTGAGCACAAGCCCATGCGACCTCACCCTCCCAATCAAGAGCCGAACGATGAATACCACTTGTACCCAAAATGATCTTCCAAATCTCCACCGAGAATGGGCATCCAAAAAAATATGGGAACGAGTCTCCTCTGCAGCATTGCACAACACCTAAGCAAGCCAAAGCCTCATCGGAGACCCCCGAGGCATAAACTTCACATTTCTTCGCATTAAGCCGCATGCCCGACCAATCATAAAAACGATCCAAAACACAACGGATACCAAAAATCGAATCCAACGAACCCTTAGAAAAGACAAGAAGGTCGTTAGCAAAACATAAATGAGTTAACGCCACTTTCTTGCACTTCGGATGGAACTGAAAGACCCCATTCCTCGCAGCCAAATCAAGTAACTTGGAATGGATATTCAAAGCCAAAACAAAGTGATATGGCGACAGTGGATCACCCTGACGCACCCCCTAGCCCCCTCAAAGAACCCCACCAGAATACCATTGAAAGACACCGAGAAGCGAGGTGACGTAAGTCAAATCTGAATCCACATGCAAAATTTCTCAGGCAATTCCATCACCCTCAAAACAGCAAGCACAAACCCCCAATCAAGACTATCAAAAGCCTTCTGCAAGTCGATTTTAATAGCGCATCGAGGAGAGAGAAACTTCCTAGTATAACCCTGGACTAACTCCTGTGCTAGCAGCGTATTATCCACTATATTCCTTCCCCAAATAAACGCCGATTGGTTCAGAGCTATCATACTAGGAAAAAAAACAGCCAAACGATTCAACAGAATCCGAGTGATAGTGCGAAAAACCATATTACATCAAGAAATCAGCCTAAATTCTCTCACACTACAAGCATTAATGGTTTTCGGAACCAAGACAATCGTTGTGGCATTGAAGGCAGGGAGAAGAGATAAAGCCTCAAAGAAATGTCTGACAGCCGGAATAAAATCAGCTTTAATGAAGAAACAAGGGGAGTAACCATCCAGCCCGGGAGCCTTGTCATCACTCTGCTGGAAGATAGCCTCCCTAATTTCATTCAGCCCAAGAGAGAGAGAGAAGAAAATCTCTCAACCTCTCCCTCCCCTTTCCTTCGCTCCTCCGCCGTATGGAGAAACAGAAAAGCCACGGCCGCCGTGAAGCGACGACGATGGCCTGGGAAACCGAACCTATAATAAACCCTAGGTATTCCTCTCTTTTCTCCCTATGAAAACCAAACCTTCAACTACCCAAAACCGAGACCCTCCCTTTTGAAAAACTATAGATTTGAGAAAAACAAAAGGGTTTTACTTCGGTGGTGGGTTTCGGGGGGCTAATGACATTCGGATCTCTCTAAAGGTAAGCTCTTTTCGATTTTTTCTTTATGTTTTTCTTTTTTTCTTTTCTTTTCTTTTTTTCTTGCATGTTATCTCCTTTGTGACTTGTAGATGTTATCTCCTTTTGACTTGTAGATGTGAGTGATGATATCTCTCGGGATTTTGTTTGATTTGCTCTCATTTTTTATTAGGTTGTTGATGGACTGTTGATGTTGATTTACGGTCACTGTAGAATGAAAACAGCAGCGTGATAGTGGTGGCGAGAATTTCGATAGCGGTTCACGCGGTTGAGAAGTCAAAGGGTTGGTGCTGCATCACACGTGCACCATCGAACGGTCCAGATCCCTTGATGGCAGCATCTACTATTTCTCCTCCGGGTTAAGGTTTTCAAAACCCTAAATGGCCATTGATCTAAATCATTGATTTGAGTCCAGATTCAATGGCTGGTGTTGGGACGGCGGGGGCTAATGGGTGAAAACCCTAGTGGGTTTGAGGTTGTCAATTTGGGCCTGAGACGAGTATGATATTGGGTCGGGTCTAGGCTCCAGTTGGGTTCTAGTTTGAGCTTGATTATTTGTATTCTAGGTATTTGTAAATTGGGCCTACACATGTAAAATAAAATTTTATAAATAATACTAATAAAGTAAACCCAAACAAAAATACAAAATCTATATTTTACTAAGAAAATATCATCTTTCATATTTTGTTATTTCTTTCAAAACATCAAGAATATATTTTATTTAATTAATTTTATCTTCCAGTTATAAATTTTGTTACATGAATATTTATAAGCTTATTTCATATTTTATCGTTACTTTCGAAATATTGAGTATAGATTATATTAAATTAATTTTATTTTCGAGTCATAAATTTTGTTATATCAATATAATTTTATAAGATTGTAATTTAATCTTACTCAACTATATAATTGACTAATATTAATTAAAAAATATTCATAATGTCTTTTCTTTTTATATTATATTCCAAAGTTGAATTGAATATTGAAGATGAAAAGGTTGATAATACGTCGGCACATCTGAACACACAATCTTCGTTACGCAACTATATGCAGTGAGCATTTGATCGAGTAGAGTTGAATTGGATTAAAAAATTTGAGATATTAGCGAGTGGTTATACCAATCTTGGTGTCGGTTGCTCGCGCCAATGTTTTCTTTTTATCTTGCATCTTTGTTTTTTCTTTATTTTTAATAATTATGTCTTTGTGGCACTAATTCCTCTGCTTTCATAGCACGGTTTTTCTTTGTCAGTTGACAAGTTTTTTTATTTTATTTTTCAATCTTTGTTGTTTATTTTCTCTTAGTGTTGGATTTGAAGTCACCATGATTAATTAAGATGTCCCTCATTTGTTATCTCGTTGATCTCCCCTACTTTGGGCCCTTGAATTGCATTTGGATACGTAACCTACGATCGTAGATATTTATCTCTTGATATTTAACTCTGTTTTGTGTTTTGTCGGTGGTCTTTTAGTAGTTTAAATCCCCCATTGTGGTTCGTTTTCCGTAGTAGTCAGATCGGTTTGTATCTACCGGTTGTTCGATTTTTTTCTAGATGAGATTTTCATCTTTTCCTTGTATGGTATTGATATGATCTTGAGTGGGCTAGTTTCTTAATGATTTTAGGAGAATATCTCAATTATGTATCTAATTTACTATTTTTATCTTAACTTTTATTGTAATTTTGGATAATTTCTATTTATTAATAAAAATATTTATTTCTATTTCAAAAAAATCGAGTTGACGAGTCTTATTTTATAACTCAAAGTTGACTTGAAATTTGTTCAAGTCGAATCGTGTTTATAAAATTTGAATCGAGTAGAATTTTCGAGTTTCTATTTAAATTTAATTATAAATATATATAATATTATGATATTATTTGATTCTAATTTAAATGGTTTTTTTATAACCATATACAATATATGTATATTTCTTCATATTTTTCATATGTGATATAGATCTATGATACAGAGTAGAGAGACTCAACTCAAACTTGAAAATCAATCCACTAATTATTAAATATTTCGAGTTATTCGAGTTTGATTTTACAACTCGATCGGTTTGAACTTGAAATTTTTCGAGTCAAATTGAGTTTATGAAATTACAAATCGAAGTTAATTCGAACCGAGTCGAAAAAATCGATTTTTCGAATCGAGCCGAGTTCTGCTCACCCATAATAGAGTATAGTAAATTCAAAGGTAATCCAAATTCAAATTAAAGAGTAAAATTTAATACCAAAGGTGATGATAGCAGTAATACATCAATAACGTATCAAATTAAATGTTACATTATCGTAATCTTATTCATCTACATGTCTATGCCATGAAGCATTATCTGAATTCCATGTTGTGGCTGAAGATTTACCTGAGTAAATGGTGAGTGGCTGTAGGAAGGTGACAGCGAGACATCGTAGCGTCGTAGTATCATCGACAGCGTCATCTTCATCTCCGTCATCGCAAAGCTCATCCCCACGCAGGATCGTGGTCCCAACCCGAACGGAAGAAACGCACTGGAATTACGTTTCGTGGCATTGGCGATCCCTTCGGCGAATCTCTCAGGTTTGAAGACATTCGCATCATCACCCCATAAGTCAGGGTCATGGTGAAGTGCAAGATTTGAGACAAACAGAACCAAATCAGGTGGCAGGATCAGGTTGCCTAATTTAGTTTCAGCTTCAACTTTCCTCACCACGCCAGTCACAGGAGGGTATAATCTTAGTGTTTCATTAATGATCATGGTCATCTGAATGCAAACACAGGTACTAATCGTTAATCGTATCGAATCGATGCCGAATTCGACATTCATTCAAATATATGTGATGAAGGGTTAGATTTGCTCACAATCTTTAGTTTACCGATGCCTTCCGGATTCGGATTTCGTTCACCGAAGACCTCAATTACTTCTTGTCTTGCTTTGTCCTGCCAATCTGGATGTGTTGCAAGAAGGAAGACAGTCCATGCGAGTGAAGAACTTGTTGTTTCTTGACCAGCAAAGTAAAATGTCTTGCATTCATCGACCAAATCTTGTTCCGAAAACTTCTTGTTCTTGTCTGTATCATGGTAAGCATTTAACAGCAATCCGAGAAAATCAGTGCCGAAGTTGTTGTCTTCATCGTTAGTCAATTTCTCTTCTCTTTTCTTCACTATCTCCATCACACATTTGTGTATTTCTTTTGCGAGCTTATCTGCTTCAATCTCATCAGCAGTTTTCCAGAACTTACTGGAAAGAAAATAGAGCTGAATCCAGTTATTCATGGCTAGTTTCTTAGATGATACAAGATTAAAAATGTGAACTTTTTTTTACCTGATGACAGGAAATCTAGACTTGAAAAAGTTTCTGTTTGTTATGACAGACAACTTCGTCAAAATGTCGAAAATCTTTTTCCCATCCAAATAACTGCTGCCGAAAGCTGTTCTGGATATCACTTCTGAAGTCAGCAACCTGAACTGTTCAAATAATTCGATTTCTTTGCCTTGGAACGGTTTCCACCTTTCCAGCATCGTCTCAACGCTGGCAATCACCGCCGGACTCATACCCTGCGTACGTTGATTCGATAGATTAATTCGATTAACACTAGAGAATGAACGCATATAATTTTAGAAGCATACTTTCAAGCTCTCCCCATGAAATGCATGGTTAGCCAATTTCCTATGCTTTGCCCATTTTTCACCTTCCGATGTCACAAGGCCATCTCCAAGTATCTTAATGGCGAAATCATCTTTCTCCTTCCTTTCTCTACTAGTCCTCTTCGGGAAAACACCTTCAGTACTTTTCAGTAACTCTTTGGCAAGTTCAGGTTCTGTAATAATCAACCGAGGTCTAACACCTATCCAACCTAGATGATTCTTCCCTACAAAAAGGTTGAATTGTTCAAGTAAATCGAGAAAAAGTGTATTCAAAAACATCTTAATCCCTACCATATGAGCTGATCCTGGAATGAACATGAGGTTGGACTCTGGGAAATATGTCATGCGAGAAATCAGGCATGGGGTTTCTCAGGGCTTCTTGTCTCAGTCTGATGTTTTCTTTGTTGTTGCCATGGATGAACTTGTAAGGCGGTCCTGTGATCCCTTGTGAGCTCATCAAGTGCTGTATACGGAGCGGCGTCCACCAGTATTTGTGCAGGATTTTGGCCAGGGCTATGATCAGTGACAGGCAGATAGAGCCTGCTGCAACGAGGACTGATGCCTTTGCCATGGGATTCATGATTTTGCAGGGGTGATCTTGGAGATATCAGTGTTTTGATCTTTATATTGAAGATGAGAAAAGATGTCGACCAGTTTTTAAATCATATTAAATCATTATCTATGTAAAATAATAGAAGATAAGTAAGTGCACGAAAACGTGAAAAGTCTCTCTTTGATTAATAAATTGAAATTTGACAAGACTATTTCTTGTTTGACAAGCATGGATAGATCGAGCGAGGTGTTAAGGATGCGATCGCTTTTTAAAATTTAAAATTTTCTTATATTTTATATGAATTATTTAATTTTATATTTCTCGAAATTTTATAATATTGCATTTCTTAAAATTTTAATATAATCTTTTATGTTCTCATCGTGAAGGATAACCTGAATTCCATGTTGTGGGACAATCAAGGACGAATCTGTATTGTTGCAGTATCATCGTGAGAACGATCTTCGCACCGACGATCGCAAAGTTGGAACCGACACAGGTCCGAGGACCGATCCCGAAGGGAAAATAGGATGTCACATTGTTGTTTGTAGCTATTGCCACCCCTTCTGAAAATCTCTCCGGTTTAAACAAATGAGCATCGTTACCCCAAAATTCGGGATCATGATGAACTGCCCAGCTTGGGACGAACGATCTTCTCTTGCTTTGTCTTGCCAATCTGTATGGATTGCCAGCAGCAAGACAGTCCACGAAAGCAAAGAATTGCTGGTTTCTTGTCCGGAAATGTAGAATGAGTTGCACTCGTCAATCAAATCTTGTACGAGGATCCTTTTGCTTTCATCGACATCGTGATACGCTTGTAAAAGCAATCCAAGAAAATCATTACCAAAGTTATCCATGTCTCCAAGTTTCACTCTTTCTTCTTTTTTCTTCGACCATTTTCATCACGGAGTCGCGCATTAGACTTAGAAGCTTGTCTGATTCGATCTCGTCCGAGGTTTTCCAAATCTCACTGCAAAATAAGAAATAACATTCCTGTCAAAGAGCAGGGTACATGATTAGGCTAAGGTTGAAGGAATACCTGATGCCTGGAAGTCTGATTTTAAACACATTCCTTCGTATAATGTCGGAATATTTTTTGGTCATGTCGAAAATGTTCTTCCCTTCCAAGTAGCTACTCCCGAAAGCTGTTCTCGATATAATGTCCGAAGTCAATAACCTGAATTCTTCGAACTCTTCAATCTCTTTCCCCTGGTGACGTTTCCATGATCGTAGCATCATTTCAGCACTAACAATCATCTCAGGAATCATTTTCTGCCAACAACAACCCCTTACCATGATGTGTTCTAGTAACAATCTAATGCTAGAACTCGCAGTAGGGAACTAGGAGGCTTACTTTGAGGCATTCCCCTTGGAAAGCATGGCTTATTAACTTGCGGCATTTGAACCATCGTTCTCCTACGGATGTGGCGAGGCCATTTCCCATTATCTTCTTGTTGTAGAACGGTGGCGGCGCCTTTTGAAATGCTTGATCCCTTCTATTCAACATCTCCTTGATTAACTCTAGCTCTGTAATATCTAGTTGAGGCTGGCCTCCTCTCCTCAGATCTTCGTTTCTCATTTCCAGAACTTCTTTGGTGTTCCCATGGATGAATTTGTAAGCAGGGCCTTTGATTCCTTGCTTTCGTAGTCGATACTGTATGCGAATTGGAGTCCACCAAAATCTGTGCAAGAACTTGAAGAGAAGCAAGAGCAAACACAGGCAAAATAAGCTTGACATGATCATCATTGGATCTCCCATTCTATGGATGGCTAATGCTTCATTGTTTAAATTGCCTCAGGTTCTGGCTTCATGTGAATGATTATTGTGATTATTATTACATTCTTTCGGTTTCAATAAACTTACATGTTTCATTAACACATTAATGTTGTCAACTTCATGACATCAAATCCTATATTTTTTATTGCATTGTTTCTCTTTCAATTCACTGTCTGTTCCATTAACATATTGATGTTGTCAACTTCATGACATCTCGTTTACCTATAACGGAAGGTGACATCGATTTACATCGAGCAGAACTACGATGAGGTATAGGCATAGTGAAGCTGTGAAAAAGAAGTAGAAGCTTACCGATGGTGTACATTGGAAGATGGATGATGGATTTACACAGGGTTCAAAACATTATTCTAACCAGTTTCGAAATCCACTCCGAAGGAAAGCTAGAGATCGACGAGTAGCTTTTACAAGAAGCAATCAAGAACAGGTTTAAAGAAGTATATAAACTGAGATTTTAAAGGTAGAAAACATGTTTACATTGATACAAAGGGGTACCTCAGACTATAATAGAGGTTTAGTTCAGTTCAACAACCTCAGTTTTATAACTGACCAACAGATGTTTATAGGACTGCCACACCATTATGGTTACATACATTATTTTAAGGTAATATATGACATCGTTTTATGTTTCGATCTCGGAGTCGACTATCTTTTCACTCTGCAAAGCGTGGAGAATGACCTGAATTCCATGTTGTGGGACAAGCAAAGAGTTTAAAACAGGCGAGTGAACATAAGCAGGGGAGAGGGTAAATCTGTATCGTTGTAGTATCATAGTGAGGACAACCTTAGCCACCATGGTCGCGAAGTTGAAACCGACGCAGGTTCGAGGACCGATCCCAAAGGGAAAATATGCTGCCACATTGTTGTTTGTAGCTTTAGCCACCCCTTCCGAAAATCTCTCAGGTTTGAACAAATGAGCATTGTCGCCCCAGATTCCGGCGTCGCGATGAACTACCAAGTTCGAAATGAACAAGTGAAGGTTCGCAGGCACAATCAGTTTCCCCAAACTAACTTCCCTTTCGCATTTCCTTACGAAGACGAGTGCAGGAGGATACAATCTTAGGGCTTCATTGATTATCATGGTTATCTGCAATGATGGGAAACGAAAAAACGGATAAGCTTTTCGGATCATACACAATGCATGTAACTCGATTTTCTTACAGTGTTTAGTTTAGATAAGTCGTTTGGATGTGGATTTTGGTGACCAAACAACCTGATCACTTCTTCTCTTGCTTTGTCTTGCCAATCTGTATGTATTGCCAGCAGCAAGACAGTCCATGAGATCAGGGAATTGCTGGTTTCTTGACCGGAAATGTAAAACGTCTTGCACTCGTCGATCAAATCTTGTACGAGGATCCTTTTGTTTTCATCGACATCGTGATATGCTTGTAAAAGCAGTCCTAGAAAATCATTACCAAAGTCATCTCTGTCCCCAAGTTTCACTTTCTCTTCTCTTTTCTCGACGATTCCCATCACTGAGTTGCGCATTAAACTTAGAAGCTTGTCTGCTTCGATCTCGTCCGACGTTTTACAAATTTCACTGCAAAACAAGAAAAAAAAACATTCCTATCAAAGTGCAGGGTACGCGATTAGGCTAAGGTGGAAGGTACCTGATGCCTGGAAGCCTGATTTTAAACACATTCTTTCGTATAATGTCGGAATATTTTTTGGTCATGTCGAAAATGTTCTTGCCCTCCAAGTAACTACTCCCGAAAGCGGTTCTCGATATAATGTCGGCAGTCAATAACCTGAATTCTTCAAACACCTCAATCTCTTTCCCCTGGTGATGTTTCCATGATTGTAGCATAATTTCAACACTAACAATCATCTCAGGAATCATTTTCTGCCAAGAAAGTGTTAGGAAAATAAACCTAATACAAGTAATTTTCCTATAACCAGATTAGTGAGAATGCGAAATAAAAGCGGAAAAATAATACCCAAAAATTGATAACGGAGTTCAGCCAATTGTGCTTACGTCTCCGGGCTGCTGCAGATCTTTTACTAAGAGAGAAAATTTACAGGTGTTTACAAAACACTCACTACTCACAAGAAAGCTCTCTAGTATAGGAAGAAAGAAATGTTTTAGGATGATTTTGAAGCTAAATGGGTAAGGGTATTTATAGTAGAAACTTAGGGACTAATCTTTGAAAATACCCTAAAGTGCAATGACTAAAGTGAATTTACCTATTCCTATTTTCAACAAACATCTACCAAAATTTTACCAAACTTTGAAAAACATTTTTCAAAGAAACATTTACCAAACTTTGAAAAAACATTTTCCAAAGTTGGTTGCCAAACTTTGAAACTTTTAACAATCTCCCACTTGAAGACTGATTTTAATATGTCTTCACACCTCGATCAATGCAGCAGCATGTCTGGTCTTGTTATTCTAGCATGCCAACTGAAGCTGAACACAACTTCAGTTTGTCCGTAGTCACCGTCTTTGTCAACATGTCTGCCGGATTTTGAGCTCCAGTAATCTTTTCAAGTTTCAAAATCCCATCTTCCAGAAGAGACCAGATAAAATGATATCTCAATTGTATGTGCTTTGTCCTGGAATGAAAAGACGGATTCTTTGCTAGATGGATAGCACTTTGACTGTCGCAATACAAGATATTGTTTTCTTGTTTCTTGCCTAACTCTTCCAAGAAACTTTGGAGCCAAACCATCTCCTTGCTGGCTTCCGTAACAGCGACATATTCTGCTTCAGTTGTGGAGAGAACAACTATCTTATGTAGTTGAGAAACCCAACTCACTGCAGTTCCTCCTAGAGTATAGACATACCCTGTAGTGCTCCTTCTGATGTCGACATTTCCGGCTAAGTCAGCATCTACATAGCCTGTCAGTATCATATCTCCACCTTTGAAACAAAGTGCTTTGTTTGTGGTACCCCGAAGATATCTGAGGATCCATTTGACTGCTTCCCAGTGTACCTTGCCCGGATTATTCATATACCTGCTAACAGCTCCCACTGCATGAGCAATATCTGGTCTGGTACAAACCATGGCATACATCAGACTTCCAATTGCTGAGGCATACGGCACCTTCACCATGTGTGCACGTTCTTCCTCCGTCTTTGGTGATTGGTCTTTGGAGAGTCTGAAATGAACACCTAAAGGTGTACTTACTGGTTTAGCATCTTGCATGTTGAACCTGGAGAGTACTTTGTTGATGTACTCAGCCTGTGATAACATCAAAGTCCCCGACTTTATGTCTCTCTTGATCCTCATCCCAAGAATCTGCTTTGCAGCGCCCAAATCCTTCATAGCAAACTGCTTCGACAATTTTTGCTTCAAGTGTATAATCTCTTGCATGTCTGAGCCTGCAACGAGCATGTCATCAAGTACAATAATAAAATAATGAAGCTGTTGTCGAACCTCTTGATGTAGCAACAATGATCTACTTGGCATCTGATAAAACCACTGCTACTCATGAAGCTATCGAACTTCTTGTACCACTGTCTAGGAGCTTGTTTTAAACCATACAAGCTCTTCTTCAACCTGCATACCAGGTTTTTTTTGTCTGCCTCTATGAAGCCTTCTGGCTGCCTCATATAGATTTCTTCCTCCAAATCACCATGAAGGAAAGCTGTCTTTACATCTAACTGCTCAAGATGTAAATTCTCTGCAGCTACAATTTTCAAAACCAGTCTGATTGTAGACAATTTTACGACTGGAGAGAAAATTTCATTATAGTCAATACCTTCTTTTTGCTGAAAGCCTTTGACAACCAATCTTGCTTTGTAGCGTTTGCTCCCATCGTGCTCTTCTTTGATCCTGTAAATCCACTTGTTGTGGAGCGCTTTCTTGCCTGATGGTAATTCAGCTAATTCTCATGTCTGATTTGACATAAGCGAGTCCATCTCATCTTTCATGGAAGACTCCCACTTGACTGAATCCTCCACTTGCATTGCTTCATCATAGCACTCTGGTTCACCATTGTCAGTCAGCAACAAGTAGTGTAAAGAAGGAGAATACTATTGGGTTGGTTTAGGAATTCTGGAGGAGCGTCTCAGTTCTAGTGTGCCTGGTTCTTCTTGAACTGCTTCAGGATTGATCTGAACATCATTTCCAGAAATCTCCTCAAACTCAGCAAATTCCTTTGTTTCAGCTTCGGTATTACTTGATTCTGCGGTTGACCTATCTTTGTACATCACATTTTCATTGAAAATGACGTCTCTATTTCTGATGATCTTTCGATTTTCGTAGTCCCAAAACCGGTAACCGAACTCATCACCACCGTAACCAACAAAGACGCATTTGTTGGACTTGGCATCAAGTTTACTTCTTTCAGCAGAGTTTATGTGTACATAAGAAATACAACCAAACACTCTTAAGTATGAAAGGTTTATTTCTTTCTTGCTCCAAGCTTCCTCTGGTATTCCGCCATCCAAAGGAACTGAGGGCCCACGGTTGATCAAGTAAGCTGCAGTGTTGATAGCTTCAGCCC